GCCGGAGAGGGGCAACCTGAAATTTACACCCGTTGCGGTTTTGGATCCAGCCAATTTTAGTTGCCGTCGTACGCTTCGGGATGGAGTTTAGGACTGGCACTGGGACTGGGACTGGGGCTGGCAGCCAAGTTTATTATGAAATTAGAACGCATGGCCAGGATTGGTTGTGGGCAGGGATAGAGAGCCAGACGAGACGGCTGGGGGGGGGCTGGGAGTCAGGGACATGGACGTTGGACTTGGAAGAGGAACGGGCGCTGCATTGCAGTCAAAAAACTGGCACATGACGTATGAACTGTGCCCCGGCTGCAACATTGTTGTTGTTCCTGTGGCGGCTGTTGCCGTTTGCCGCTTGCCGCTTGCCGTTGTGTTGTCGCTTTGTTGTTATAGTTATTAAATTAAATACTCAGCCTATAACAAAATCAACAGCAACATGGAAGACCAAGAAGCCAGCCATATCAGAGAGGGCAGCAGGGAGTTATGTGTAGAGATGGTGGCACACAGTCTGAGGAGTACGCCGGAGAGAGGGCGAAATGTTTGCCGATTATTGCCAAGGGTGATACATAAATAGAGAATGTTGATGACAGACGAGCAGCCAGGGATTTGGATTCAGCGGAAAGAGCTTTAGGGCGGTATTAACATCCAGACGGAGATGTTCAGAAATAGATAAATACAACTAGTTGTAGCTGTCTGTGATTATACTTCGATGTTAATAGATTTTGTATCTTAATGAAGTCAAAATTGTATGAAGGATTACTTTAATACTTATGAAATTTTGGTGAAAGTGATGTACCAACAGATAGATACAAATATCAAGTAAAATATGCAGTAAATTTTAGTATAAATATGTTTAAAATTTATTTTATTTAGCAACTTTCTTTATGCCAATCAATCAATCTTGAACCCTTGAATCAATACTAGTCCTAGTTCTAGTCATTTTCGTTCCATTATTACGGCCTCTATAAAATATGTTTAACAGACAGACTGTGGGGTAAAGGAGAGAGGGATTTTCTAATTACATGTGGCAATTTAAATAGAATTTGTATTGTATTTATAAATGGTTGTGCCAGTGGCTGTTACTGATGATGCCACTGCTGTTCTATTTAACCATGTTTATGCAATATTTAAGCACTCCAACACACACACACACACACTCAATCTGCCATATAGGAAAAGCCAGGCGAGGCGACACTTTTGGAACTAAATCAGAATTTATGCTTTGTTTAAATGCTGTAAAAATGTCGCTGATTTCTATCGCATGGCAATAATTATAAAAGAGGCAAGCAGCAATAAAGTGAGCTCAGTAATAATAACTGTCTATATGCATAAAAGACCAAGGGGCACACAGATATACACACATGTGTACATCTGTATGTACTGCGATACAGATATGCCACATACTCAGACGAGTACTCACAGAGAGACAAACTGAACGCGTATTTAAACCAATTTTATGGAGCATTTAATTGTTGCTGCTTATGGACTACAACCACAAACAAGTACATGGTGGAATACACAACCTCAGCACCGCTGAGCAAATTAAAAATGGTAACAAAAGGTTAACGTAAATTGTTAAAACTAAATTATACATATAAACAAAACATTTTTATGCGATTAAAATCGGAATTACACGCAACGTGCGTCAGCTTTTTAGGGGTACTATGGTATGCGAGGGAGTGTAGTGGGGGAACAGACATAGACACAGACGGTGCACACATGGTCTATGGCTTGGGCATGACGATAGCCATGTCTGGTCTCCAGCTCCATGTCACTCATCCACCTCGTGCGTCTGTCTCTCTCTCTGCTCCTCTGCGTCTCTGCTTGACGGCTTTCCACTTGAGGCTTCACATTGAATGTCGGACGGAGCCGGAAAAGCTGCGCACGTGCTGGAAAAATATGCATTCGAAGTAAAAGTCACAAGAATCGTGCACACATGTGTGTATGCGAGCATGGGTGCCGAACGGCAACAGGGAGAAGGGTTCAGGTGCTTAGATAATGGCCCTCAAGTTGAAAAGAAAGTTGGCGAATAATCCAAAATAAAGTTCTGACTTGCAAAAAAGATTTTTGGTAAATTTAAAGAATTAAATGAATATAATGGATAGCTTTCACTAAAAGTTTAATTCAGCATTTAAAGCAAATGTTCAAGCTAGAACTCTCGTCATTTGAACTTCCTTGAAAGATATGAGGCAAAAACTAATACGAAATTCAATTAAACCATTTAGATATCTGAAGGTGGCACACATTTCCTTATCAACTTTTCTCTTGGGAAATACCAATCCCACAATTATTTATACTCATTTATTCATTCACATTTCACTGGCATGCTGATCCATTGAGACACCCCAATATATTGTATTTTATATACTAGCAAGCCATATATTAAACGCTGATTCTGCTCCATACAATTATTGTATATGGAATGCCAGTCCCATTTTAGTCTGCTATCGCTGGAAATGTATTTCGGGGCTGCTACTACTTACTAGACCAATTGAAGATGACGTGGGCTATCAGCCAAGTGTTTAGTGCTTGACACCAAGACGTGACAATTCATCAATTCTGATACCCCTAAGTAGACGTGACTAGGCCCATTCTTATAGACCTGACTGGCCCAATCTTATCGCCATTGAGATTTTTATGGCCTGGAAGTCGGGGGAATAGTTTGTCAGAGTTTTTTGCCAGATCTCTGATGATATCTACATATAGTGCAGGCGTTTATCTAATCTGTGGACTGCGATGGAACAGATGCCCGATTTCCATCCCATCGAAGATCTGCGATGGCTTACTCTCTGGGAATCCTTTTGTAGATCGTCCGGCAGATTATGGCGAGCTCTTGTTTGCGTTGTTCTGCCTGACACCGACACCACTCAGCAGTGTTTGTGTTTGTTGTTTGTTGTCTCTGGTCGCTGTCTCTGGCTGTTGTTGTTTCTAGTTGTTGTTGCTGTTGTGACTCGTCGCTCGTGTTTGGTGTTCGCGCCGTTTGTTGATCTGATTTTAGTTACAGGTTTTGTTTTTTTTTCTTTATTTTTGTTTATTTTTTTGGCAGCCACCTTTTTTTGGTGTGTATCTTTATCTCAAAATATGTATCTGTAACTATCGAGCGCGCTATCTGCGGCTGTGAGTATTTACATACATAAACTGCTTCTGCTGTTGTTGTTGTTGCTGCTGCTGCCTAGGTAGTCGCCCCAGAGGCTTTGACAAACGGTTCATTTTGGCCATAAAACCCAGGCAGTTCTCGTTAGATGCGGAGATACGCAGCTTCGAGCATATGAACTTATGAAGTGCCTTCAAAAGCGAGAGCTTAAGCCCCCAAAATACATACAAAAATATTCATGTAAAGTTAAGTCAGCCTGGGAAAGTTTTCTGTGTGCAGCTGTCTTCCTGTGCATGTACCCCCTCTTGTACTCTACCTCTTGCCACACCAAGCAGCCAGCATCCTTGTGCCACTTTACAGGTGCAGCAGCAGCACTTGACCCTTCTGCGCCGAAAAGTTGTTCAGCTCTGAAGCGAAAATCAATGCGATGAACCAGAAAAACGCCAACAAAAAGTTTCTCACGTACACTTGCAAAAAAACTGAAAATCATCACTGAATTCTAAAGGCCAAAAGTTCCCTTCTATAATGACAAATATTTGATATATCGGTAAATGAACATTGAGAAATTTAAAGACATTGAATTAAAATTCATTGTGGCAATAAAATAAAGCTAAAATTTCAGTTAGAGAATTCCTTGCGCCATTTCAAAAGAAAGGACCAGTTTCGATGCTTTAGGACCGCAGCTTTCACCTCCACAAACTGTGGCTGAGTGTGTGTGTGAGAGCTGTTTATGCGCAGCAGATGTACCATGTACCAGAGCCAGCGCGGAGGAGCCAACTTGCCAGCAAAATAAACGAGCTCAATATTAATAATTTGTATCTGGATACGGAAACTATATTTTGAGTGTTCTGTTTTGTTTTCGGCAGCCAAAAGATGCTGCTAGCTGGATGAGGTGAAGGTTGTGCAGGGGGTGGGAATTGGGATGGGGTTGGAAGCATACAAATAAGCATGGGATAGGCATAATTCTATAGTTTGCTTCATTTCCAGCTGCTAATTTATGCAAATTTCGTTTTATGTGCCAGCTTCATACATATCGCGCTCTACATCTCTCTCGCTCTCCCTCTCTCTATATCTGTCTCCCTCTTAAAAAGAGATAGAGAGAGAGGCAGCCACTCACACGCATTCATATAACTCAAAAATCGTCAGACAAATCTGCACACATGTTAAAGCCCATAAATAAACCACATAATCACAAACGGAACGATCGATGATTGTTGTCACTGTTTGACAGCCGGGCAAAGGCGGCAGCAGAGCAGCCGAACATCCGAATAGGAGGCCAGGACAGGGCAGGACAGGGCAGTGAGAGTGGGAGTGGGAGGGGGGCAGAGTGTAGAGCAGGAGCAGGCAGAGCGTCGTCGAACAGACAACCAAAACGCAACCGAGGCACCATGCCAAGTGCAGAGAGGCGTGCCGCAAAGAGATTATTGAACGATGCACTCGAGCATGACGAACAGCAACAACAACACGAACAACATCATGGAGCTGTGCTGCTGCTGCTGCTGCACAAACAAACAAACCAACGGACATGCAACTGCAGCCCGAACGAACCGAACCGAACCGGTTACCTGCTGCTGGCTGCTCTCACACACGACACGGCCAAAAAAACACGCCCCGCTCACCAGGCGAAAGAGTGACAAGCATATTGCGTACCCAGCTCGGTATAGCCATCCTGCTTGCACCGCACACAGCACTGCTTGACGGTGCGACCATCTTGTATGTGCCAAACGCGCACACAGCGACACACGCACCGAAGTCCGGCCCTCGTCAGACGAGTTGCTTCTCCCTCAGATACAACGAGCGAGCCTCTGTGTGTGTGTGTGTGCGCGCCTCAGAGTGTAACTGTGTGAGTGGCTGAACGCGAACGCGCTTGTCTTTCCTGTTTCGCGCTCGTGCCTGTTCAGTTGGACGACGACCGTTGACGTGTTCGATGCAACATACAGCAGAGCAAATATAACTGAAGCGCTATCGTGTTCGCCTGTCTCGTTCGCCGTTCCGTTCGTTTACCGTTTACCGTTTACCGTACCCGCAGCGTATCGTGCCGTTCCCCGTTCGCGTTGGTTTTACGTCGGCGGCGGTGTTTTTCCGTGAAACTAACAAAAGAAACAAAAGCAAACCCCAGAAGAAAGCTCAAAACGCGTCGGCAAATACACCCAATTTGAGCCAGGGCCAAGAAAGAAAAGTGTTACAAAAAGCAAAAGCAAAACAAAACAGAGATACAAATACGAGATCCCCAAAACGGTGATACAACTCCCAAAACAGAGATACAACTGAAGGAGCCCCCAAAACAGAGAAACAAATCAAAACGACCGAAACAGTGTGACTAATAAATGTGCTAAAATGTAAGATTAAAATGAAGGAATAACCCAAAATAATCCTATCAAAAAATACAACAAAAGTTTCCCCCAAACAATTGATGAGATTTTAACGGTTCAGCGGAGCGCCTTATCGAGCAATCATCAGTGGCACAAGGGACCCATACATAGCCCCAAATACTGTCATTCTGGCTGACACAGGCATTGAAAAATCTGGCAACTGGCTTATCAATTTATTGCTATCAACTAACCAACAACAGCAACACAAACACCAACAGCAGCAACAACAATCAAATATTTTTGAAGACATTTAATGAAAAGTGTTTGCTTCTTTTTCCCGTATCGCTGGTACTGGTACTGGTACTGGTACTGGTGGTGCTGCTGCTGCTCTTGCTGCTTCTGCTGATAGATAGATAAATTGATTGGGTTTCAACGCTGCCACGCAGAAAGCAAATCAAAAATTGTTGGATAGGAGAAGTACAGGGGGAGAAGAGACCTGTTTGTCTTTCTGCCTCCCCAGAGGGTCGGAGAGAGGTGGGCAGGGAGGGGCCATGCGTTGAGGTAACAAATTATGTTGCCTTATCATATTTCTGTAGCGCAATTGTCAATCGAGCGATAGGCATCTGGAATACGTACCTTAAAGATAGAAGAAGTCGGGTCCAACCCATGGGTTGTATTATTAATTTTTCGAAGCCAAAGCAAACAAAGAAAGCAAATAGCACAACTCCTGTTGATTATAATCTATTTTTTAAAAAAGAAATCAACGAGTGCAGTGCACACACGCACACTCACACACACACACACACACACACACACACACACAACCTGGCGCAAACGGGGCACACGGCACACACTTCTCGTACTATCTATGGCTGATAAAAAAAAATTTCCCGAAAAAATTTCCCCCAAAAATGTTGTCTCACCTCTGGGGCTACCTGTCTAAATCAATAGAACTTGTCTGTCTGATTGTCTGATAGTCTCCGATAGCGCGGGGCGGGGCGGGGGGCCACACAACACACAGATGCCCGTACTAATTCAAGCTAGAAGAGATAAACCTCAGATGAAACTCTAATTGGGCCCACACACACGCACCGAGACATTCGCGCACACACACCTGCCTCGGTACTCCGCACTCCCACGCACAATCCGCACAGGCGCCGTCTTTGACATCCCACGGATACGGGTACATGTACTGTGAGATCCTTTTGTCTGACAGGCACAATTGTCTCGGCTTTATGACAGTGTAAACATTGTGACAGTAGAGAAAGACAATCCCAGAATATTGTGCCAGGGACATGTTTATTAGATCCCCTGGGATGCAGTGAAGATCATCAATCAAAGGGCCGGCTGCAACTGCAATTGCAACTGCAGCAGAAACTGCCAAAAATACTCGAATTTTCCTACGGTGGCAGTCTGTGGAGCAGTCGTAAATCAACCTGCGGTTATCCTAGCACAAACTGCCACCGCAACTGTACCCATAAAGTAGCTATAAAAACAATTGAACAAAAACAAAAACAAAATGTAAAGCGTTGAAGTGCGTTCGGGGCCTGATAAGGAGTGCAGAGTGTTGGGGCACCTACTTGATAACGCCAGCTACCGTTAAAATCTTATCAAGCGCAGACACCTCGAAAGGAAAGCCACAAAATTTCAGTTTCTAAAGTACAAACATTTCTGAAATTGCAGCGCGTTCTGTGTGGTTAGGCGCGTGAACAGGAAAATGTGTGGTTGCTGAGAACCGAGCGCTACTTGCCACTGCAGCACACACATACACACACACACACACACACCCACCCATCCCGAAGCTAGAGAGAAGGAGAAGGAGTGGAGCCAATTCCCATACGCCCCACAGTAGCACAGAAAAGCTTTCAAGATTATACTCGAAATGGATATGACCTCAACAGCGGAGGCTGCCGCGCGCAGCTGGTACGACAGTCCGCGCTTAGGCGGCGGCGGCTCCGGATCCGGCAGCAATGGCGGCGGCGTCTCCCCACACACCAACGGCCTGGGAAGCGCCGGCAGCAGCCTGGCCCACAGCCACCACAGTCTGTCCAGCGGCGCCTCATCGGCGGGCAGCAGTGTCGGAGCAGCCCTCGGTGGAGGAGCCGGCGGAGCCGGTTCGGGCCTCGGCCTGGATACCAGCGATATGAGTGCGTTCTATGCGTTGGAGAGCAATGGACACCATCGGCGGTACTATCCGAGCTATCATCAGCACAGTAAGTACCCATTTATGGAAAGGGATTTGGGTTTGGGTTTGGGTTTGTGTTTGGGTGTGGGTTTGGGGGAAAGGTTCCACCTCGATTGGATTTATGTTTTATTTAACAGTAATTTCTTCCATCTTTTTTTTCTGTCGTTGTTTGTTGCCTCTTGTGGCTCGGACATTTGTTCTAATGTCATTTCTAATGCGTTTTTAATGAATGTATTTTGCGGGGGGCTCGGGGTGGATCTGAGTTGGTGGTGGGTCTGATGGGTGCCGTCTGTAACCGCCCACCGCCCACCGCCCACAAATCGATTGCTTCGCGCCTTTTTTGTGTTGCTGAGTGAACGTTTCCGGTTGGCCGCCATAAATAATGAGGGGGAGGGGCCCACAGAAATCGCTGGGGTCTATCGTGGATACTCACTAGCAGCCAGATTGTATCCTAGATATCCTCGAAGCATTGAATTAAACTCTGCAGATAGCAATTGGTCAATGTTTAGCCGAAGAATCAGGAAATTTAAGCACTAGAATGGAGTACGATTAATCGTGTATTTCCTACACACCACAACCATTTCCATTTATTCTTTTATTCTGTAAAGTTCTGCACATAAAACCCAAACGAAAGTTTAGGTTTTCGTTCATAATTTCCCCCTCATCATGGTCTATGTCTCTATTACAGCCAGACAGTTGTATTTGTGGTTGTTTTTCTTACCCCGCTTGGCCCCACCTGAGAATATCATCTCGTGAAAATGGAAATTTGTTTGGCTGTACAGTTTTTCCTAATTGCCTGAAATTTGTTCGTTGGACTACTGTCTGGGGCCAAAGAGAAAATGATCTGGGCTCATTAGTGCGGTGCGCGACGGCCCCCACCTGAACACTGAAACACCAAAACAGAGCAAATGGCAGACGACATTATTTTCGGTTATTTTTTTTTCATTTTTATGTTGGGTGTATGTGTGGTTCACACGCCTCCAAAAAAATTTCCAGTTCCGCTAAGTTAATTTTCAATTTGAGGAGCCACCGCGCTGCTTGCTGCTGTATCCAAGTGCGGCTCTGTGGCCGCGTTTGGGTCTGGGCCAAAGGCAGACTGTGACTCTGCTGTCAGTTTTGACAGCTGATGGCCCAAACCATTTTCACTTGGCACTTAGCATTGCAAGTCCCCATTGTTGTTGCTGCCGCTGCTGCTTCTGGCTGCAGATTTGGCTCGCCTCTGACTCTGACTCTGACTCTGGGGTTTGGCTTTTCGTCTCTTTGGGGTCTCTGGGTTTGGTGTGGTTTGGTTTGCATTTTGACAGTTCCACGTAAAACGCAGCGAACACCCAAACGTGACATGCATCAATGCTCGGTCGCCTGGTCTCCGAATTTATTTCCTGCTCTTTGAGTGTGCAAAATTTTAATTTAAAATTTCTGTATACGTATCAGGAATGTGTGTAGCGGGCGAAGAAGGAAAGATCACAGCCAAAGAAAGGCTGCAGACTGCAAAGTGATCAATCAGCTTGGGAGGCTGCTGCGGCAGCCACTGCCTGTGCCTGTGCCTGTGCCTCTGCCTCTGCCTCTCTCTCTCTCCCTCTCTCTCGATTCCTTTTGCATTTATGTTTAATTCATGTTATTCATACGCCGACTTTATTGATGCTTGATTTGATTCCATTCCATTCCATCCACTGATCCCAGGCTCTCCTCTGTAATTCATTCATGCACTCAAAACTTCTCGGATTCAAATCCCGCGCACTGTTCGCTCAACATTTGACAGACAGTTTGTCTGTCTGTCCAAAGAGAGGTGACTCTGGGGCATCGGCAGTGGCACTCGCATCCATAACGAGCATCGCGACGCTGCGCACCGCACCGGGGCACCTGTGGCGAGCGTTGATTTTAAAATTCATTAGTCTGCATATGTCACATCTCGTGAGGGCTTAGGAGTGGTGGCGGTGATGCCTGGAGCGGGCACTTCCAGTTGTCAAAATCCCAATTTAGTTGTCAATTATGAGTGGTTGACTTTAGTTGCTGTCATTAGTGGGCAAATTAAGCAACTAGGGCTCCTCCCGCCACACGAAATTTAGACGCCCGCTGAGCAAATGCAGTTTAATGGCTAACACAGATACACACAGACACACACACACATACTGGTGCGGAATGGCTCGGAGATTTTTTTGTTAGCCAAAGTCATAAAAAGCAAAACAACGAGCCAGCCCCGTACGCGACAGCAGCAACAACAGCGACTACAACAAATGTGAAATTTAAATTTCAAAAGCAAACATGCCGAACATTTTGGCAATAACTTTTGTCGGCCGCGTGACTCTGTGTATTTGTATCTTTGTATCTGCGTATGTGTATGTGTCCCTGTATCTGCATCTTTTTCAGTTTTATTTTCTACAATTTTGTTACCTTTTTTCTCAAACATTTTCGATGAAAAATATATACATATGCCCCACGTTTTATTTTTATTTTCTGTTGTTGCTGTTTTGTGTTTATGTTTTGCTCGTGTTTATTTTTTCTCTGGGTCTTTTGCTGTTTTTGCTATTTGACATGAGAGGCACTTTGGGCAGGTTTCTTAGGTATTTGTGCATTGAATTATCTAATATTAAATATACAATTTTAAGCAATTTATTTATCGCTTTGAAATTGCCCAAGTTTCAATGATAACCACAAATATTTGTTAGTTTAGTTTACTTGATATTTTATGGTACAAATATCTCTGAGAAAACACATTTTCTTTTTGCTTCTTTTTTGTTTTCCTTTTTCTCTCACAGTTTTCTTTGGGAATGCACTCTTTTTACAACTTATTTTCCCACTCTTGTAACCTTTTGAACGGCCAATTAGTTAGCCATAATCTGTTGGCCTCGCTGTTAAAGTTCGAGCATAAAATACATTGTTAATTGCCAAACATTTGAATACTTATTCTTGCCCGATTCTTTTCTTACAACACGAACGAAAGAGAAGCAAAGCGAACTATAGCCATTGCACTCTAACTAAAAGATAGAGATAGATATAGCCATTAATAAATTCGAATGTTAGAAGTGACCAGTGGCCAGGGCGGGGTCCCATATTGTGTCGGTCGTGCATTTGTTGTTAGCAGCATTTATTTTTGTGGGCTTATCGGGCAAGTGGAATCGGGCAAATGGAAAGTTTTTGCTGGACAGAATGTTCCCACAAGCCGGCTGTGGGGACCACTTAACGCAAATGTCACGCACAGTGGCACCGAGTCACAAAAGGATATCAAATGAGATGCGGGCCCATTGAAAAAAGTCTCTCAGAAGTGCTGCAGCTTCAGCCACAGACTTCAGAGCTCAGACTCCTTCTCTAACTCTCAGCCTTCTCCACCTCTAGCTCCAGGTCTAGATTTCAACTGGCTGCTCCTGGCCGGTTACCAGCTACCAGGTGTTGCACTTGAAGCGCTCGCCACTCATAAATTTTCGTGTGGCCGGGCGTAAAACTGCAAAATTTCCAAGAAATTACAACACGGCCAAAAGCGCAAAAAGCACACAGGAATATTACAACTACAACTACAACTACAACTGCTCCTAGTCAAGACAAGTCACACACGGCCCTCCCCTACAGGGGGGATTCCAGCTGCTTGTGTGTATGTGTGAGTGTAATAGTTGTTGTAATTTACCGACTGCAACCACGAGGCCAGGACGGGCTGTGGCACAGCCCGGGCAGGAGTCACAGTCAGAATCATAACCATAGCGTGCCTGCTGCCTGCTGCCTGCCTGCTGCTGCCTTGTGCCTGAACCTCTGGACAGAATCTCGACTGCAAATCTTAATCCCGGTGCGCAAGTTTTCAACGAATTGCGGAGCTGTTCGGGAGTGTGTGTGCTTTTGAGTGGATGGCCTATAAAAATGAGTTATGGTATTGCAATTGAACAGCTGGGCCACCGCTGCGTATGATTGATGTGGCCTCTAAGCCCATGAAGTTCCCTATGGGTAAACGGCTACCCTTACCCGCGGAGGGTCCATCTAGTTTTTGGGTGGCTTTGGGCAGCATTCGCAGCAATTCGCGTTTGATTAAAACGTCTGCCAAATCATGCCACATTAATTATGACCCAAATTCCAGGAAACATTCCATCCTACATCGTACGATGCAAAGCGGCAAAGTTGAAGCGCTGTTTGTGTGATTGTTGAATGCATTGACAGTGGCCGGTCATTCATTCATGGGGATGAAAATGAAGATGAAGCTGAAGCTGAAGATGGGGTACGAACTTGCCACCGCCCGCGTTGCGCATTGCGTTGCACATGTTTGATGTTGCTGCTGCTGCTGCTGCTGCTGCTCTTGCTGGCGCGATGTTTTAATTAGTCGTGGCAGCAAGAACTGTCTCTGCTTAATTAAATGACATAATTATAAGAATGCGATGGCAGAGCCTGAACCAAACTCTCTGCCTACGCCAAAATGCAAACATGCAACACGTGATGTTGCCACTGTCGTTGACATTGCTGCGATGCTTCAATTAATTTTCACTCCAGCAACATTTTGCCTTCTTTCGCCTCGACTCTCTGACGGACTCTTGCCTGTTGGCTGGACTCTGCTGTTGCGCTTTGTTGCTGTTTCTGTTACTGCTGCTTTGCATGCCACATAGCCAAAGGTGTTGCCGGCACAACCATCAGAGGTCCAAAAGGTGCCGCCACAGCCATTGTCCAGAGTATCTGCAGCCACACATTCCCACTGCCAACACGTTTCGCATTCTAATTTGACATTCTCCCTGGCCTGGCCGGGGCTCCACTACACTCCACGCCAGTGCAGCACAGACCAGGCCGTGCCGCGGTTTCAGCTAGTTTCTCCTAGTGTGAACAGCTGTCCTTCAATCACTATCAATGTCGCTGATGTTGCCTGTTGTGCCTGTGCCTGTGCCTGCATCAATCTGGCCAAGATGGCGAATGCCACAAGCTCCTTCAAAGCTTGCCGACTGCTTCTGGCGAAACGGGGCCGGAAGTCTTCTGCAGGCTAGTCCCTGCCATGGATGTGCTGTCATTTGTCATTTTGAGATTTCCAGGAACTTGTTCAGTCATAAATACATTCATATATAC